CTTCAAATTCCACGTCGATAATTTTCTGATTTCAACATAATGTGATATCTTTTCAATATTGAGTTGTCCTCCTTTCTGTCGCAGAAAAAAATAGTGTATTATCCTCGGAAAAAATATTAGATTTTAGCTCACGGTTTATCGTCAATCTCTGCTACTCGTTGGGAGACAACAGTTCTAGCTAAAATCGGTTCCTTTTTTCCCTTGTGTAATAAATAATTATCAAATCCGCTGAGAAGAATTATTCCGATTGATTCAGATCTGCCTCAACTTTTTTTTTTAAGAATCGAAACATAGAGCATGTTGGAAATGTATGCACGATATTGTAATAAGTTTTCCATAGTCAGTATCACAGTTTTTCCACGTAGCTTTAAATGCCAGGAATCGTTAGCGAGGAAGGAAAAATCGATGAAAACCAGGGCCGGATTATCTATAAGGAGTTTTCAATTGTATTAGTTTTTTTATCACGTAATTTGTCCAATGATTACAGGCAATAGGTGCTTGTTGTGAAATTGAAAAAAGTATGAATTGGCATATACGAAAAATATATGAAATCTAAAAAAATACAGAAAGAAAATCTTTTTTGGACAGTGTACTTTTTTGAAATACTTTGAGGAACTATAGGAAAGGCATCTACTCCTTGGTCACAATATTCAATGTGGCATAGTGCCACATTCTAAAATTAATACCAATGAGTTACATCACTTGGATTCTTTGGATAACTGCAGTTGTAGAGACATGTGAGGAAAAGTACTTTCTTACACAGCAACGACGCAACGACTGACTCGCTTGATAAGTTCGATAATCAATCACTAAGAGATACGTATACAGGCTAATGAGATGTTTGAAATGTGTAAATACAATGGAAATAAGCGCTATTTCTGTTACAGCGCTGTTTTGTAACGTGCTGTTTTGTTCAGGCATGCCTGTGAGATGATGCTTTACCATCAATTCAAGGTAACCATGTTGTAAAAATATCACACGAAAGATTGAAGTAACAGGATACCAAAGGAGTCGATCAGATCAACTCGACTTTTATAGAAAAAATGTGTTTCAAAAATTAAGAAAGGGTAAAAAAGGGGGAGATGGACCCCGAGAATGGGCTTATATCACAAAAAAAAATTATTTCATTATTCGATAACACTCACTCAAACTAGCTCATCACCGCAAACCGTTTCTTGCTGTGAGCTCCCTACGTTTTATAGAAAATTATTGAAATCCCCGATTTTTCGGACCTCTGAAGACGAGGCGATGATGTGACGTCAAAACCCTAATACTGAAACAAGACTATTCCAGACATGCAGAGATGAATGATACATGATTTCTAACAAAGCACCAAGATTGGTGAATCGGCAAGTTGATTTTTGGGACAAAGATAATAAGAACAAGAAGAAGATCAATTCTAACCTATATTAACTTTTTGCAGCTCCATGTAAAACGGGTCAACAATGCAATGTTGCTGCGTTTATGAAATATATTGGATTATTGTGAAATAGTAATGGTGCAAATGGTTTTGAGATTAAAACCTTCCGTTGTCTAGAGATTGTTCATATTCCAATGATTCAACCTACAATCGACAACTTGAATATATTTTTCTGCAGTAGTGGTAGTGGATATCAAAAGATATCTCAATATCGATTTCGATCTCTCGGATATTTTGTTTGGATGATATGGCAACAGTGATAAGTGTCAGTTTTGACTATGGCGAGATGAGTTTTCTACGTCATAAGAGGGCCCGTTTTCAGAAGGTACTATTATTAATGTCCAAAAATAAAACATTCCATTCAATTTTTCGATCGAATTATGTCGTCAATCATAATTTATTTAGGTATAAAAGGATCATTATGAACATGGTTTGAGTTAGAAGTTCTACTAAGGTGTACACGTCCATTGCATTGCCTAGGGGGCCTGATAGGGTTAATACGGCCCTGATAAAAACCCTAGCATGTTGACGAACTAACTATACCTACATACAGCCATTAGCTACCGCTAGCTATCACCTTCCTTAATATTTAATCAAATCCATAATAGTATCGTCGAAAGACATGGATCGTTTTAGTGGTCCCTTGACTATGATAGCCTCAAACGAACAAGGTGAAAGATTTATCAGTGTGTTACGTGTGGATCAGAAATAATATACTCAGTAGGTAAGTCGAACGATTCATGAGTTTCCATCTCTTCATATATACAGGGTGTCCCAAAATTGCTGGGACACAGAGCTACCACGTGTACAGAAGGTCAAACCCAATTTATTTATGTGCCAAAATGTACCGTTTGTCCGTGAGAAGGGTTCGAAGTTCATATAAAAAAACACTTTTTTGTACGCTGTTCAGAAAGAAAGATATTGTAGAAGAGTTAAAACCACCCTCACCCCCTGACATTTTTTTCAGAACTTTTTTAGGGGTCATGATACGGTCCTGAAAGTTTTTGAGCTCAAAGACTAATCGATTACCTTCATTTTATTACTGACGTAAAAATTCCGTATACCGCATAGTTTCGAGGAAAAAAAAATGTTCTCTCAAATAATACCACCAGATATTTTCAGTACAAGTTTAATGAAATTGTGATATAAAACTAAGTTGGCAGTGGAAACAGAAGCAGAACGTTTCTTTATAATGAATATTCAATATGACGCCCATCTTCATCGAAAACAATATCAATTCGACGTAAAAATTTGAAATGCACACTCCTCAGCATATCGTCGTTGTCTCGTATACCGTGCATCGACGGCATTATGAATTCTGTTCCATAGTTTTCCGGAAGTATCAATTTGAACTTCATACACTTGTGTTTTTAACGCTCCCCAGATGAGGAAGTCACATGGATACAAATCTGGAGACCGCGGAGGCCATTTAATAGGTGCTTCTTGTCCCCTACCAATCCATCTATCAGTCAATTGTTCGTTCATATATTGTTTTGTTGTCTGAAGAATTCATTGAAACATTTACAGACAACGTCAACAAGAAACTTGAATGACAATAAATTTGTTTTCTGTCAAAATCACGACTTGCCTTCGTTCCCACTGCCAACTGAGTTTTATATCAAAATGTAATTCAACTTGTACTGGGAATATCCGATAGCATTATTTGAGAGAACATTTTTCTTTCTTCGAAACTATGCGGTATAGTAAATACAGGAGTAATAAAATGAAGATCTGAAAAAAAGGTCAAGTGGTGAGGGTGGTTTTAACTCTACTTCAATTTCTCTTAGGTTTCGTAGATTACCAAAAGGGAAGTAAACCTCTGAATTACACTAAATTTCATCAAATTCGTTCCTCTTGTTTCAGAACGGCGTTCAAATTTGTGTTTTTTATCTGTTTTTTGAACTCTACTCACGGACAAACGGTACATTTTGGCACATAAAAAATTGAGTCCAATCAACTTATTTCGACCTCTTCTCTACTTGATAGCTCTGTGTCCAAGCAATTTTGGGACACCCTGTATACAGCGTTCCTCACTTCAAACGCTTTCCCCCTCTATATCTCAGCTGTTAGTCGTGTGATTGGTACCAAATTTTGACATTTTCAGAGACGAAAATCGAATTAATATTTTCATCACATAGAGAATGCGAATTCTCAATGAATTCCTTCATATATACAGCGTGTCTCATTTTATATCTCAGTTATTTGTCATGCGATTCCAACCAAATTTGGTGTGGTATGAATAACCATCAATATGATCAGTTTCACAGACATGCACACTATTTTGGACAGTGCCGTGCCGGTTGATTTTTCATAAAATCATATTAGGCATTTTTTTACAGGATATCTAACCTCATATTATTGTTCCTCATGCTTCCGAACCTCCATATGCAAAAAAACACGTAATTCCGAATTAACAAGATTGGCTTCATTTTTTCTATTTTCAGTCTCGTATAAATAGTGACTTCAAATCAACTACGAACTTTGGAACGTTCAATGGCTTCGGTAGGTGGAAAATCATGATTTGGAAGGAAAAACGAATTATACTTTTTTATGTTGAACTCACCGTTCCCGAGTAAATAATTATTACGTTCGCAAAAATGCTGTTCAGATGTGCCTGTTTTTCTGAAACCTTTCTTAGGCATCTTATGAAAATTCACATATGTGGGTTTGAAACCATAAAGAACAATATTATGAGGTCAGTTTGCCTGTGGAAAAGTGCCTAATATGATTTAAGAAAAAACCTCGGAAAAAACTAACCGCTATTCATTTCAATAAAAATGCACGGCAATGTCTGAAATGATGTTTATCTTTGAAGAACTGGTCCTATTGATGATCATTCATACCCATACAAATTTGGTAAAGATCGCACGACTGATAGCTGAGATATAGAGGGGCGCCGTTTGAAATGTATATATATATATCCATTTATTATGTTCATAAATATATCTGAGAATATTCGTTTTCAATTCTGAATGTTTGTTAATGAAAATTTAAAAATTTCATACTTTCTTCAATCACTTGTATCTTTTCTTAAAAAGAGGATATTGGCTTGAATCAAGAACGATCAGGTTAAGAAGGGACGAAAAACATGTTAAAACAGAAGGTTGCGGAGAATGATATTGAATTATTGTGGATAAAAATTTAAAAAAATTCATAATGTTTCAAAACACTTGTATATTGTCTTTTAAATAGAAATTGGGGTGAATAAGAAACAATTATGTTGAAAAAAAATTACACTTCAATCCAAAATATGATGAAGCTGAATTTAAACACTCACCTTTGCAACAGAGCGTTCAGGAGTTGAGGGTAAAAGACTAACTTGTTTCTCCCTGTACAATGATCAATCTATCAGTTTTTTTCCTGAATCGAAATTCAGAACATTCCAGAACATAATTCTACAATTTGGTCGAAATTTCACCAGAATCGGTCAAGAATTAAAAAAATTACAAGTCGGTCAATTTGTCTTGCCAGTTTTTTGCCGATGATTTCATATTATGTCTTCTGAAAAAATCTCAAGTTTATAAATGATCTTCAAAATACGAACTAAGAATCAATTTGTGTCTGTAATTGATCAGTATGTTATACCTAGAATCTAATTTCTTGTTCAAATAAAACACAATAGCATTAATTTATTGTAATATTCGCGCGCGTGGTCATAAAAAAACCTAATTTTGCTTGTCCGAATAAGTTCATCTATTAGTAAGTTCAATTACATGTATGAAGGGGTCAAATATTGAATAGAGGTGCCGATTTCAATTTCAAATCGAACTAATGAATATAAATAAAACACGATGTCTCTAGTGAATTTTTTATTTGCTTGGAGATTCTGAAGATGGCTAGTGACGTCAGATCGTTCTATAAAAACAAGAACGTGCTGCTAACGGGCGGAACTGGATTCTTCGGGAAAATGATCATCGAGAAACTTTTGAGGACTTGCGAAGTGAACTTGATCTACGTCATAGTTCGACCCAAAAAAGGACGTACTGCCGAGCAGAGGCTTCAAAGTTTATTCGAAGAAGCTGTGAGTACATATTGAAAAAAATGCACAAAGAAAATAGTAATTCACGTAACAAGTCCGGAAAATACTGTTTTTTTGGACGAGTAGACAAAATTCTAGGACGAGCCATAGGCGAGTCCTGGAAGTCTGCGAGTCCAAAAAAACTGTTTCTGGACCTGTTGCGTACACTATTTTTTCGGCAAGCATGTAGAATAACAAATCAATGAGACACATTTCCATATTATTTTTCTTTGTAGAATACAATTTCTTCATTATTCATTCTCATTTGTATCAAATACTGAAATTTCAACAGAATAGCTATACCTACTAACAGTCACATTGGAAATTTCATATGGACATTTTCAAACTCACTATCGCAGCTGCTGTCCATAGTTCATTGCGATAATTGCAACCAAACTTTCAAAAATCAAAATGTCAACTAATTTTATGTCAAATAGCTGTCAGCCGATATTTCGCTGCTATATGGTAATTATCATCTGCATCTATCAAAACCATATCTACCAAGATTTTCATAGTTACAGTGACAAAAAAGATGTGATACTTCCCGGCCTAGTCTGGGAAGTGAGCACTTTACTTCAGTAACAATCACCAATAATTTTGAAAGTCATTACTACTGAAACTATAGCAGTTGAAGGATATTAAAATGATATCAATTAGACGGTTTTATTTTGTTTGTGTTTTTTGTTTTTTGTATATCTCTACCTCAAAGTTGGGAACCAACTCCCCAGAAGTCGAAACTTGTGCGGGGTTAGGAAGAGCGGGACCTACAGCTTATAGTGGAATCCGAACCGAATTTCATTACTATAGCTGGCAAAATTTGTTTCGCTGTATATACTTTATTTTTAAAACTTTTTTATGCCTTCCTCTTTCCCAAGTATACATTTTCTGACCTCATTGTAGGGAGAAAAGTCGTACTTTTCCTTCTTAGGGTACGTCATTGTATGGACGTCATCAATGGAATAATGCATACGGCATTGACGACCTAACCTATTTATACAGGTTATGTCACGACGAGTTGACTTTTGATTTACTATCCACTAACATTCAATTGGAATAGTTAGAGGTTGGTTCAAGATTCAGAATCCTGATCAACCTATTATTACTCTATCACGAGTAAAAAAATGTACAATGTGAAAATGCTTACATTCAGTTCTTTAATAAATTTTGTTTGTTAGTTTCATAAATAATTAATTTAGAAATGACTTGATATTTGAGAAAGGGGAAAAAATCATATGAATAGCATGGGGGTACAGTACCTTTTCCTCCCTTGAATGATTACTGCGGGTGGAGAAATAGCACTCGCTCCTCCCTAAATACGAAAAGCTATATTCAGTTGAATATTCATCACCGCACAATTATCATTTCATTTCTACTACTTTTCACTTTTGCTATCTATAAAAGCGTGTTTCAATAGTTTTTCAAATTTCTATTAATTTTCTTCTATTTTTTGAGTTTAGTTAGGTATCGATATTAAAGCGTGTTTCATCAGTTTCCAAACTACGATTTATTACAATAAGGCTCGTTCGCCATATCGGATCCGCCATCAAGAATTGCCCTATTTTTACGAAAAAAATCCTAATCTGCGATCCCAAAAAGCCTACGATGCTAATTTTGAATGAAATCGGATTATAATTACAGACCCCCCCCCCCGCTATATTGAATCCGCCATCTTTAATTCCGTATTTTTGACGAATTTTAGTAGTTTTCCTCCTGTTTCGTCGGGAGAAATTAAAAAAATCAGATAAAAAAATTGGTTCAGCCGTTCTAGAAATATTAATGTTGTAACTAACACGACTTTGGAGTTTGTTTTATACAGATAGATTTTTTAGCGATAATTCTTATAGCGAACAATCTTTTCAGGTATTTGAGAGAATTCGAGAAGACTGTCCAAAACGTTTTCAAAAAGTCCATGCTTTTGAAGGCAACTTGGCTAAGAAAGATCTAGGACTGAGCGACGAAGATAGAGAAATCATCAAATCAAATGTAAGTACCATCATAAAACGGAATCACCACTTTTGGGAGATTCAGTCTTCCTTGAAGTTTATTTTTTTCTTTTGACAACATAAAAATGGACCTTCAATAACTTGGTAGATTTCAATGCAAACGAAATACAAGCATGCCTTTTCTCTAGAAGAGCCGATCTCACTGTGCCCAACATAAGCTTGTCAGGAGTAACCATACCATTGATACAAAAATGGTCCATGTCCTGTAGGCAACACACAATAAACAGAATATTTTGTTATAGCCCAGGAAATGAAAGGATAATCCCACTTGATCCAAAAATAAAACATAAAACATAATGCATAAAATAATTAATATGGCTTCAACAAAATCTACCGCACATTTCATTCATTTGACGATAAATTTACAGGTGAACGTAGTATTCCACTGTGGTGCCTCCCTAAACATGGACTCCGTGAAGCTAGAAGAAGCAGTCATCACCAACATCCGAGGAACTTCAGAGTTACTCGATTTAATGGGAAACGCCTTGGATCTCCAAGCATTCATTATCGTCTCTACTGCCTACTCAAACTGCTGCGAAACAACCATAAAAGAACAATTTTATGAGCCAGCTATAGACCCAGACTTGCTGGTGGCTATGACAGAAAAACTAAACCCTAACACCTTGAATGCTATATCTACAGGGTAAGCTTTCAAACTATACTATTCATTACAATGCTCGTTCTCCATATTTCAACGAACACTGTTGAAAAGTTGGCGATCTGGCTCTATTTTATAGATATTTTCATGGACGATGCTCTTCTGAAATATCAACAATTGTACCTCCCTTGGCAGTCCCCGCGGAGACCTGCAGAACATTTTTTTCCAAAGACTCGTTCATCCAACGAACAGCGAAGCTCTGGAATGAAAAAAAAACAAAATATCCCAGCAAGACATTCGCCAGCCTCAATCATTTCGACCAATGTCTCATAGTATGAAATAACTACACTATTTGTAGATCTTTTTGAACGGAAGCCATGCTGATTAGTATGTTTTCCTTTTTTTTGTTTCATGCAACTTCAAGATTAATAGGAAAATGGCCAAACTCTTACGTTTTCACTAAAGCTGTAGCAGAACATTTGATTCTATCCAAAGGGACTCGTCTTCCTATGGGCTTGTTCAGACCAGCAATCGGTAAGTTTGTATTTGAAGAGTAACCTTAATAATTATTGTTGATCAAGGTAGTGAAGAATATTTCATTACCCAGGGACCATTCATATCCCTAAAGGTTGACGCTCACCAGTCACCCTGCTAATTGAAAGGACTTATTTAATTCATCACATCCCAGACAACTAGATTAGGAATGATCACGTCACTGTGACGTCCCTGATTGGTGATTTTTCGTCAGAGATGTCACACCAATTTATGTTGGATTCTATCCAAAAATGGGCAATTCGTCTCGTGGGTGATGCCTCGCTCATAAACTCACTCATTTTTTTGAAACACTATAGAAAAATTGTCGATCTGGCTCTATTTCATAGATATTTTCATGGACGATGCTCTTCTGAAATATCAACTCATTGCCAGGAAGGTGTTCCTCGAGGCACATAACCTCCAGAAATTCAAGAAAAACACCAATTCCCACCTCCTTTCCCTTGGTTCTCCCGATGTTCTCTGAACATTACAGGATATCCCTTTCCGTGGGAATCAAAATTCCCTTGGCAGTCCCCGCGAGATTAACCCGTCGAGATGAGGCTTCGCACCCCTTCGTGGTCACTTTGGAGACCTGCAGAACATCTCTTTCCAAAGACTCGTTTATTCAGCGTTGCTGTGGAACACATTGTCAAGGGAGGTATTTCCCGAGGCATATAACCTACAGAAATTCAAGAAGAACATAAATTCCTACCAGAACGATAAGTCCAAAGGAAAAACCAAATTACACCAAGTCGGTCGAGCACAAAATTATATTACACAATTACTAGTGTGACTAGTTTCGGCTAAACAGCCATCTTCAGACACAAATTGAATAAAGTACCTGTAAGAGATGAAATTACAGACGAACAATAAGTTTGCTGAGGAAAAAACATACGTATAGGCCATGTGGTGATTACAAATTCAATAAAAATAAAAAATCAAGCGGTTATTTCAACGTAAAAATCCGTCCGGTAAGGGAGTGATTAAATTTTTATAACGGCTTAACAGCCAAAAGAACCTTATAATCATGAGGTTCAACATTGGCACGAACAGAACATTAAAAAATTTGTATGACGATAATCACAATTCAATAAATCTCGTGTAGTGCTTCTCATACCTTTCTCAAGACTTCGTTGGCAATAACTCAACTGTTTCGCATCTGTAGCTGGAAGTTTTTCATCGCAATTCTACTGAATCGAATATGACAGTAACGCTCTGTCTGTCACTCTGAGAATTACACTAACTAATTTGTGTTTTAATTGACATGACAACAATTATTGTTTCCCACATCAGATCACTTAAAGGCTATATTATATAACAAATCGATTATTATTTCTTACTATTTCTTCATTATCACAATAAATAGTGCAATTTGATGGATGAGTTTGTACAAACTTACTAAATACTGCAAAAAAAACAAAAAAAAAATATATCGTGTCACCCACCACTCATATTTTGCGAGAATATTATTTAAATGTTTTTCCCGCACTACTGCGGATAAATGACACTTTCCAAACTAAATTGCGTGCGGTAATAGGGTGAATCACGCACGCTTGTAGAAAATAGTTATTTTTGTATCTAGAGCGCGAAATGATACTTTGGTGATCGAGATCTGATTTTTTTAACGAGGCGTAGCCGAGTTAAAAAAATAGTCGAGATGACCAAAGTATTTCGCGCTCGAGTTGCAAACAACATTTTTTCTACAAACGTCAAAAAATATAGTTCTAAATTAAAAATATGCTTAGCTCGATATAAAAAATGGTGTTGAACTGGCTTAAAAGGCCTCTCCTATCCTCCCTAGATACGCACGATGTTCCACGAACATAATAGGAATTTCCTTTCGTGCGCTCCAAGAGATAAAACGAAGTTATTGTTGAACATTCAGGAATAAATTATGTTTTCTCGATTAAGGACCATTAAGTTGAAATATAAATATCTCATATATTTTACACAACAATGCGCGAAGTAGGTACTTCGCGCACTGTTTTACTTCGCACATTGTTTGGTGCAAGGTATCATTGTAACGTAGGAAACTGAAAAGAAGTGTCACTTCGCAATTTGCTATCAATGCGTGAACCTTGTCATTTTTTGACGTTTGTAGAAAAAAATACTTCACACCTTGAAATGGAGTGAATAATGAGAGGTTTAATAGCTAGTGGCGAAAAACAGAATCATCAACTTTGCAACCATCTTTTTTTGCATTCCAAATCCGGAGATAATTCTGTTTTTTTTTTAGTGACTTCTACTGCCTTCGAACCATTTCCTGGATGGTCAGACAACATGTATGGACCACTAGGTATATTGCTCTATTCCCACAGTGGGATATTGAGGGTAGTACGATGTAATGGGAAATTCATGTCTCACACTGTCCCGGGTGATATGTGCATCAATGCCATTTTGTGTTTGGCATGGGATATCAGTAAAAAATGGTGACTATCCTCATTGCTATCTATTTCGCTTCTATACCGAGTAACCATAAGAACGGGGCTGAAATTTGGAGGGTGGATATAACATAAAATCGATCTGCTTCGTCATTTCTTTGTGAAATAATAATTCTGGGATATATCGAGAGTGGACCACCCGGTATATGGAACGGCATTGGTGGTTACTTCACTTATTTATAGCATGTTTTATTCGGATCAAAAGTGACTTAGTTGGACTCGCTAGTCAAACAAAGTGTCACTTTTGATCCTAATAAAACAATCTACTTTATTATCAACACGTTACAATCGTTATTCACTACAATGTATCAAGATTAGTTTATTACATAACTAGTGTGGAAAGTGACATATTTCGAAACGAGCGCAGGAAATGCACTTTCCAACGAGTTTTGTACACTATTTTTCCTACGACCACAAATATTTATATTATATGTCATGAGTGTTCATAAGACCAGAGTAGGAATCATGTTTCTAATCATATTCGATCACATGAAGGTGATATCATTATCATTATTATTCAATTTCACTTCAATATTCAAATGACTTCATTAGTTCAACGTTAACTCAACATTAACTCAACATTAACTCAACATTAACTTAACATCAACCTAACATCAACTTAACATCCACTTAACATCAACTTAACATAAATTCAACAGTTTCTTAACATTAACTTGAAATTAACTTTACGTTAACTCAACATCAACTCAACATTAACTTAAAATTAACCTAACATTGACCTAACATCAACTTAACATTAACTCAATAATTATTCAACATTAACTCAACATTGAATCAACATTAACTCAAAATTAACCTAACAAATCAAACTAACATTAACTCAATATCAAATTGATATTAACTTCACATCAATCACGAAATTGCCAATACATTGACATTAATTCTACTTTCAATTGAAATTAACCTGATTTCAACTTTTCATCAACTCAACATTACGTCAACATTAACGACAATAACTCATGTTAAATCGACACTAACTTTCCATCAACTTGACCATAACTTAACTTACCATAATTCAGCATAATAATCATTCATTGGTACATCATAATCTATAGACCCTGTTACTGTGCGATTTTCGAATATTTCCACCCATGTGAGTTTTGCTTTCGAACTTTCTAACTGTTATATGTTGTCATAGTGAAACGAGTCACTTTCTCAATAACAAATCAATGTGTTTTGTGCTGTTTTCATAGGTGGTCGTAGGAAATAGATATTTACGTAATCAGTTAGGAAACGCGTTGTTTTGTGTAACGATGGGATTTTGCGGGACGAGCGAAGCGAGATCCCGCAACATCACAGAGTTACACAAAATGGCGTTTCCTAACGTGTCACGTACAATATTTTTTCTAATTTTGACGAAACATTTCGCATGAACAAAAATAATGACCAGTTTTACATGAGTTCTGCCGACTCTTGTTGTGTGAAATGAATGAATGAAATGAACATTACATCACCAGTTATGTAAAATTTTACTTTACGCAACTGGTTACGTAAAGTAGGACGTTTCAAAACTTCCGTCAGTTTTGAAAAGTGTCACATTACATGTCAAAATTAGAAGAAATTATTTAACTGTTCCTCCTAAGAAAATGAATATTTTCAGGGCATCATGGTCTAACGATTATGTCCCACCTGTGGTGAATTTCTCTGCCAATGGTACAAAACTCCTGATCCCGATGGACAAATACATACATCTAACCAATATAGATACCCCGCCATTCAAAATAGCAATGTGGTACCATATGTTATACTTGGTAAAGAACAGATATAGCTACATCCTAGCGAAATTTGCTTTACACACGATACCTGCCTACTTGATTGATGCCTTGTTTTCGATGTCCAAAAAAAAGCCAAAGTAAGTCAAGAAGTTGTCTGCTACGTAGTGATTCACACGAGACCAACGAGACGAGACTTTCATTAAGTCTCGTCTTGTCTCGCGTCTCGTACGAGAGTCTCGCAAATGTATCGCAATTTTGTGATGCATAATCTTGTTCCAGTCTAGTATGGGATATATACCTTTATATACCTTCTTTCTAGGTATAATGTAGAAGTAGGAAGACAAAATTACAACAAAAATAACATTATTTATTGAAAAGTAAGTACCTAATAGGTACATACTTACATCATACATCTAAACAAGAAAAAAAACATTTGTTTTTCAACATCGTGCAGATTCATTATTAAGGCGATTCCGATGTTTTCTTATAGTTAACGCATCTCGTGCCATCAAACTTAAAATGGAAAATTCAGAAGCATTGATTTTCCACCATTGCAATATATACGTGTTTTTATTACACCGAGGCACAGAATGATAGTTCTGAAGCTCCTGCATCCATACTGCCGTTACAACAAAGTTATTCTTCATCTTAGACTATTTAGCACAGAATGGCTTATTTATAGATTTTCAGGTAGTAATTCAATTTGCGATCTGTCGTTATTGCAGAATTGCCTTTATTTTCCGCCGCCATAAGAGATCATGGATTGTGTTTTTAAAGTATTTATGAATGAAATGTTTTGTCTATCTGTGCTAAATAGTCTGAATTCTTTCTAAATATGTTGTATTATGAATGAAATTCTCAAGTCTGCAGTCGGCACGCAGAAATATTCACCTGCGAGACTCTCGCACGAGACACGAGAAGTCTTGCACGAGACTCGAGACGAGACCAATAAAAGTCTCGTCTCGTCTCGAAAACGAGACGAGACCATGCGAGACTCTCGCGGGCACCACTACTGCTACGATCGATGGAAATTCACTACGGAAATTTTCAGGATGCGGAAAATCTATGCGAAGCTCGAGAAAACCTCGGAGGTTTTGTGTTATTTTCTGATGAGGGAATGGATCATCGAAAATGACAATGTTAGAGAATTGTGGGAGAAACTGGGACAAGAGGATAAGCAGATTTTCAACTTTGATATAGATTCCATCGATCTCAATACGTACCTGAGCAATATGATCGTCGGTATGAAGAAGTTCATTTTGAAAGAAGACATGACTAAACTGAAGCAACATAAACAAAGATATACAAGGTAGAAAAATTAATTGTTCAGTGAACATTTGAAAATCCAACCATACAGGGTGTTTCATGAGGAGACTCACATAGCCAAATCAAGACGAGTTGATGTATATAAATGAAAAAATTTTTTGACCCTCCATAACGAAGATACAGGGTATTATGTGAAATTGCTATATAACTTTGATGGCCGATATTACAGAAATAATTCATCGTAATCTGCTGAAATTTGACAGCGATGTATCTCTAAATCTCTCTCTTTCTAAATCCGATGGGATTACTCTAGAAAAGTGGTCACAAAGTGAACTTTTTTGACATAACAATGAAACATGAAATTTTCCCAAGTCCGGACCTGGATATTTTTTTTCAAAATATGTTATCTTGAATAGTTTCAGTAGAGTCGCTGCCAAACTTCAGTAGATTACGATGAATCATTACTGTAATATCGGCCATCAAAGTTATATAGCAATTTCACATAATATCCTGTATCTTCGTTATGGGGGGTGAAAAAATGTTTTCATTTATATACATCAAGTGGTCTTGATTCTCCCTATTAACCATTTGGCTATGTGAGTCTTCTCATAAAACACCCTGTATATTCTGTGAACTTACTGTTCATATATATTTCTTTCAGGTTGCGTCTTCTACACCACACACTGAAGTATTCACTACTGGGTGTTGCAGTATTTCCTTTATACAAGATGTTGTCTCGAATTGTACGCAAAAAAACATTAATTTGAATTATTTTGCCTCTCAACTTTTGTCAATTCTGTTGTACCTATTAAATTTACGATTTTTTCTACTTTCACTCGTTTAATTTCCAGTTCCTTCTAGTATACAGGGTGTTACAAATTTATGGGTAAGCATGAGGATGTCGTTAACCTTGAAAGCCGTGTCTCACGGCGCAACAATTTGATCAAATTAGTTTGATGTGACGTCATTCTTGCCTGTTCGGTTTGAAATTTCAAGGAATCTTTGTCACACGATTTGAAGATTTTTGAACAAAAATATTGGTTGAGTAGATTCTCTAAAATGGGAGAAATCACAGGAAAAAATCAAATAAAAGTTCATCATATGGTAAGTATTTGTTGTATTTGTAATACAAAGTGTTTGAAAAAAAGAGGGAGATATGTACAACATAATGGCTTCAAAGAAGAAATATTGGTAGAGGAGTCCTACCTATGATTTTTGATGAAGTCAGACTCAAAGATATCCCATGGTAAATTTCAAAACTGCCTAAGAATGGATGGGAGATGTTTCAGATTTTTATCGATCCTCATAATACGCGTGAACGTATACCTGCAGAATTAAGGTGAGATCATAACAAAAGTCTCTAGTCAACCAACCATGAATTTGGGATAAGAGCAAAACAAAAATATTACTGTATTCATCCGAAATGGTCCTCAGTCCAATTACTAGGTCAGGCATTTTTGAAGTATCGATAATATTGATGATAGTATTTCTTGTTAATTCCTAAGACATGAAATGATAATCAATGGAGAAAACATGAAAACAAACATCCTAACCTTATTGTTTGATCCATCAATTGCTAAAAGTGCATCCCAAAAACTTGGTTTTCTGTTTCGGGCCAGGAGCTATTTCACTTCCAGTCAGCTGCTTATGATCTATAAGGCACATATCCGACCTGTCCTGGAATAATGTTCCCAGATTTGGAGTGCGGCACCCAAACATACCCTGAAACTGTTGGATTCTGTCCAAAGAAGGGAAATTCGTCTCGTGGATGATGCCTCACTCACAAACTCACTCACTTCTCTAGAACACCGTAGAAAAGTTGGCGATCAGCTTTTTATTATAGATATTCTCATTGACGATGCTCTTCTGAAATATCAACAATTGTACCTCCCTTGGCAGTCCCCGCGAGATTGACCCATCAAGTTGAGGTTTTCGCACCCCTTCGTGGTCACTTTGGAGACCTGCAGAACATCTCTTTCCAAAGACTCGTTCATCCAACGAACAGCGAGGCTCTGGAACACATTGCCAAGGAAGGTGTTCCCCGAGGCATATAACCTTCAGACATTCGAGAAGAACACCAATTCCTACCTTATTCCCCTTGGTTCTCACGATGTTCTCTGAACATTACAAGATATTTCTTCTCGTGGGAACCAGAACATAAAAAATAAATCCAACAAGCCAAATATTTAGAACAAGTTTCAAATTTCAGCTGCTGTTTGACGTGACGTCACTGATGACATCACGGATCTGTAGTTTGATCAAATCGTTAAACCGTGAGACACAGCCTTGAGAAATACAGAGTAGGTTAAATTAAGGCAAATTCATGCTCAATCAAATGCTGCAATGAAATTGGAAAAATTTCAATTAATTATGGAGGAATCCGGAAAAATGAAGAAAATTCTAAATCCTTTTACTTGCTTACTCAGTTTATTCGAAGAGATATTTCGAAATGAATGTCTCGGCTTCGCTAGACTCGCAAATGCAAAATTCACTTGTCAAACAAAGTGTCACTTCTGATACTAATAAAACAATCTACTATATCATACTATTCTGATATTCCTACTTTTCCACTTCGATTTTGAAATTGTTCATTTTTTTCAATTATATGGATGATCTTATCTAGAAGTTCATACTTTTGTCTGAGTGGTGTGTAATGATGAAAGGGTTATAAAACACAAAATCATCTCCACAACATTTAATAATCGAAATATCATTCAGGAAACATGTTTTGGACAGTTATGTGTCCATCATCAGCATATAATCCATTCAAACCAAAAATCGTTGATATGAAAAACACATTATGAAAAATTTAATGATCAAAATTCTTTTGCAAAGCACCGATTAAAGGGTCAGGTTGATGGGCGTGTACACCTTAGCAGAACTTTTAACTCAAACCATGTTTATAATGATCCTTTCATACATAAATAATGATTGACGACATAATTCGATCGACAAATTAACTGGAATGTTTTATTTTTGGACATAAATAATAGTACCTTCTGAAAACGGACCCTCTTATGACGTAGAAATCTCATCTCCCCATAGTCAAAAGAAAATACCAAACGCCCGACGGAGACTGAGGCAACTGATATATTAATTCTTTCAACTGTGATCTCGCGCTAAAATTCACTCTGTCAGAAATCATGTATCATTCATCTCTGTCTGGAATAGTCTTGTTTCAGTATTAGGGTTTTGACGTCACATCATCGCCCCTTTTTCAGAGGTCCGAAAAATCGGGGATTTCAATGATTTTTTATAAAACGTCGTAGGGAGCTCACAGCAAGAAACGGTTTGCGGTGGTGAGCTAGTTTGGGTGAGTTCTATCGAATTATGAAATAAAAAATGTTTGTGATATAAGCTCATTCTGCCCTTGTAAGAATGTAAATAATTAAAATAAAATGGTAAAGCCCATCATCAGAAAATACCGAGAAATGGTGGAGTCAACTCTAATACCCAAAAAACAGATTTCTTACATCATCAGATGATGGTGGACAAGTCATTGAATGAACTAGAAAGTATTATTGTGAAATGTATGACCCTGTATAAAAATATGTCGATCGTTGTCTGGAGAAAAGTTGTTATCTATAAATGACTGATTTTTTTATCACGAAATATACTCAAAATTCAAGATAAGCATTTTTGATGTTCTAAACTAATCATTTATGTTGTCACTTCGTGAGAGGAACAGTGTGGAATAGTCTTGATTCAGTTTCGGGAGTTTGGTTTCAAATATTGTTAAAATGATTTGGATTGTGTATACGCTTTTTGCCTTGGTAAGTTTTTTGATAGATGTTATACAGGGTGATTCACATAAGAACCGACATAGAGCAGGGGCATGTAGGGGGTTCCAAAATATGGCAATTTAACGCAACTTACCTCTATACCAAGTTGCTTCCCTAAGGAGTTATAGGCGTTGAAAGTGAAGTTATAAATTTTGAAAAAAATCAATATCTCCGTTATTCTTGAACTTAAAGCAACCAAATTTGGTACACTTTGTGGATGTATTTAGGGCGTCACTTGACAATAACTAGAGTTTAATTGAGATTTGTAAAGGAAGTATACCGGGTAGCGCACCATTAATATTCAACAGAATTTTGTTAACCCTCGATGAATTTCAAAAATCTTTGCTTTGTTTTGTGGGCCATTCAAGTCTCAAACTTTTCTTACTCTAGTAATTTTTCGAAAAACCTCATCATTTTCATCAAAAACTCGAATAACTGGAAACGCGCGCTCTAGGTGTGTTATTTAAAATCATCGAAAATTCAAAAGTTGGCTATGAAAATAAACGCCAAACAAGAAAGTAGGTCACTCAATGTGATCAGTAGAAATTGTCTGGCAAATTATTATTTAGATACGTAACAAAATACGTAGAGTAAGTACAGATACTGAAATGTGAAAAACTGGGATTAACAACTAACCAAAATAAACACAAAAAACTTAAACAACAACCAGAACAAACAATTGTTTATCGTTAAATTGAAGAAATTGTTGAAAATGATCGCCGTTTACTCTTACGCATAAACTTATTCTTCTTCGAAAATTAAAATCCACCCTATCTAATAACTGTTGATTATTCCTAATAAATGTGCATTTATGAATAATGCGATTCCATAATGGGGGAGACCATCTGATTTTTTAAAATGACATTATCGTGAACTCTATACTGAAAAACTACCAGCGAATTAATTTTGAATTTTGTCATTCATGCTAAGACGATGGAAAAAATAAATTAGAATATGTCCATTTCAAAACACACAATTCCTGCGCCATTTGAAATTTCATCAATTCATTGGTGTGACTGGTGCGACGTCTTAGTCCCAACACGCCTATTGTCCTTGAACTGACCAATCACACTGCAACACTGCAGAATGACGAGGTATCAGAGAGAGATAGCTAGAGTTCGGGACTAATACGTCACGACTCCACCATCATATTTGGCTGTTTGAAATATCGAATGAAATATGCTGATTTCAAAACGATATAGATTCGATTCCCTTCAACTTCAACTCATAATATTGATTGTACATCAAACGTAAATCATGTTTCGTCGATTGAAAGAGGTTTGAACGGATTTTCTTCTCTCAGTGGTCCATTCTTCTTGAGACGCAACGGGCGAAGAATACACAAATTCTTCCAACGTTCCCCACAGAAAGAAGTCACATTTGTTCAGGTCAGGTGATCTTGGGGGCCAATAACGTTGTGGGCAATTATTTCCTCTTCATATCCATCTATCGGGATACTGGTGGTTTAAAAAATTTCTTACGTTCATACTAAAATGAGGCGGTGCTCCATCGTGCATAAACCAATGTTGCAACCTTAGTTGTAAAGGTACCTTCAAGTATAATATCACAGTTGAGAGAATTAATATTCACCATTCAGCCGATTCGGTAAAGCAACAGAAATATCGATCAATAATTCCCATCAATTACTATAAGGAATCAAATTAAATATACTTTTCAAAGGTCGATAAAAAACTATACATAAAATTTGGTTGATAAGTAGGTACGTACCGATAGAGAAAAATAAAACCGTCCCTGAACATCAGGTCATTACCAAATGTCACTATATGTTGATCATGATAAGTAAGTGATTATACATAATGAAGATATGAATGAGCAAATCAATTTCATTGGAGGACCACGATAAATAGCCACTACAGAGAACTTAGTTATGATGTAATTTTTAGGTCAATTAAGTAATTTCGTTGATATTATTTTTTCCAGGATTTGGCAGGAATGTCCCTATCGTTTGGGATAATTCAAAAGCATGTTCTCATACTTGGAGGATCACTGTATCATGTTGGGCTAATAACATCTATTACAGCAATCCTGGCTTTTTTCTGGAAACCCATCGCGGTAAATATCCCTATTTCAAAACGTATATACAGGGTGATCCACGGTGGATGGCCTATTAGAAGTATCTGGAGAACGAAAAGACATTCTGAAAATTGGGATGCTTTGAAAATTGAACATTCTCTATTCGTCTGAAATATTTTCATCGATACAGTACTGTTGTTACTACTATCAGAAACAACTTCGTTAGTTTGAATGGAGCACCCTGTATTTTATTGCATTTTTAGATTCTTCCTGAAGAGCTGATTTCATCAATGTATCACACTTGGGGTCGAGCAGGAATGATTAGACAGAGATATAGGGTGTTCAAAATCGAGATTTTTCAATTTTAGGATTTTTTGTGTCGAAACTATTCATTATTGAACGAAACGACTTACTTGTCCCTATCTTGACTTTCGATTCACTATCTACTTACATTTAATTGGAACAGATACAGAGTGATCACAATTCTGAATCTTGAAGCACCCTGTATTTTTTTCAATTAAATTCCAGTAGATAGTGGATCAAAAGTTGAGATGTGAGCAGTTTCGATCGATAATGAATAGTTTCGACACACAAAAATCCTAAAATTGAAAATCTCGATTTTGAACACCCTATACCTATCTCTGTAATCATTTCTGCTAGACCCCAAGTGTGATGCATTGATGAAATCATATCTTCAGGAAGAATCTAAAAATGCAATAAAATACAGGGTGTTCTATTCGAAATAACAAAGTTGCTAGTTGTTTCTGATAGAAGTGGCAACACTGTATCGATGAAAATATTTTAGACGGATAGAGAATGTTCAATTATCAAAGCATCTCAATTTTCAGAATGTTCTGTCTTTTCGTTCTCCAGATACTTATAAAAGGCCATCCACCGTGGATCACCCTGTATAGGTTGAATGAATGCCTAATCTTTCTCGAAATCATTTCACGTTACGTAATTTTACTTTAGCTTCGACCTGTTTCAAATTCAGGGTCGATTAAGTGACAACAAAGGCCCTCAGAAAATCATGATTTGGTGTTTATTGGCATCAGCAGTTGGGAACCTTGCTATAGGATCCAGCTACACCCTGTATCTACTTGTAATCGCAAGAATAATACAAAGTAAGCACCTATATAGGTATTTCAATTCATAAATATATACAAACGCTTGGTGAAAATGTTTTTCAACTATGCTTTGTATAATAATTACTGTTCAGATACGCTCAAGTTCATTTTTTAAACCCTTAACTACTAACGTTCCGAATATATAACGTTGTCACTAACCATACGTCTCACAGACGGTACTTTAAATGTCCATATAAATCCAAAATTTTTTATTTTATTTTTGTGAGCTATTCAAACACGTTCTCTACATATTTTCTGAAGAGAAAATGATGATCAAAATTGAAATAGAAATACAATTTTCAGTGGCGATCAAAATTTAATAGAGGAGTACCATATGTTCAAAATTTCGACATTGATCTATAGAAATACTGAAATAAAATTGAAATACTAAAATTATCGATGATATTATTGTCATTCTGAATACAGTTAGAGTCGTAATAAAATATGACACAGAACTAATAAGTCATGAAAATGCCTGTATATCTAGATATAGACGCAATCATACGTATTATAGGCGGAATTGAACTTTTATTGTTACGTAATAACTAACTATAGGTCTACGAGACGGGAATCTATCTTTCACTCAAGATATTGCTAAAACTGAACCATATACATAGATCAACTTTAGGGTACTGAATGAGTGCTGGTTGGACATAAATTACGTGGTAGCAAAATGGCCGATATTGAAAACAAATCGGATGCTGATATGCCGTCTCTGAGACGTATGATTAGTAGTTAAGGGTTAATAACCACTTTTTCTGGTTGATACAAGAATTATCCATACAAAATTTCATTACAATGTTGCCAGTTTCGACATAATCGTGAAAAATGTGTAAAAAAATCATTTTTTCAACACCTTGTATCATGAAAACGGATGCCGTTACGACATTTTTCAACTTATGTTGCAGTGTTCTACCTACCCTAGCAAGGGCGTCAGGTTTTTTTGAAACACCCTGTATAAGCCCATCATCAGTCAATAGGAAGTATCATAGATCTATAAAAATCGGTACCTATTAACTATACTATTTGTTTGTCTTCTTTTTCCATCTCCATGTTAGTGCCAAGTCAATGCCGATTTTTCTAGAACTATAATACTTTCTATTGACTGATGATGGGCTTATATAAGCCCGAAACATGTTTTGTTACGATTGATCTTTGATCATTCTAATAAAAGTTGTGTAGATGACTTTGGGTTTTCATCTATGTAGTATGTAGTATCATTGTATCGATTCTGCTTACAGTTCAGGAAGATTTTGAACTGAAAATAGAGTCAATATACACTGATACTAACCTGAAAATCATGCATCTCAGTACAGGCATCTTCTAATTACTTCTGTAATCCCCTCTTCATACGATATTCTAAGGGTAACATCTACTCCCCTATTGGGTTAAATCAGGAGGGCTCAGAATATGCATTTGAATTTGACATCTGTATTTTCTATTTCTTATATTATTTACTGAAAGGGTAGAAAGTTTTTCAATTGACACGGCATTATTCGGAAACTGCTCAACAGAAAATAATGAACTATACAGTCTGTCCAAGATAAGGTTGCACAGCATGGAGATCTCGGAAACGGTAGGAGATACGAAGTCGGTTGAATGGGGAAAAAGTTGCGCATTCGGAGGCTCATACCAACAGCCTTCGAAAAATTTCAAAATTTTTTTTAGTTTTTCAGTTATATCGAAAAAAGTGAATTTTTGGAATCTCTATTTTATTTTTTTTCTCCGTTATTATTAGAGATACAGGAAAACTGAAAATACTTTTTCATAGCAACTTTTGATGACGTTTAACGTGGTGATACCGATTTTTCTATGCGACGTTTCGTATTCGTAGAACCATCATCAACTTTCGTTTTTTAAATACGGCCCTGATAATTCTTTCACAGATTCTGAAAGCTTTTTTTCATTCTGAATTCGACCATGTATTATACAGGGTAGTTTGAATGTGTTTCGAACTATTTTTAGCCATCATCAATGTTTTTTTCGAAATTCCAAAGGAAAAATGCCATGCTGTGCAACCTTATCTTGGACAGACTTTATATAGGGTTCTCATACTGTTGGAAAGAGAATTGAACGTCCTTCAAAATGATGTCGTGCTACTTGACCTCACTTCTCATTTGAGATTCTAAGGGTAACATATCTACCCCTCCTAGGGGGTTGAACCTCAAGGGCTTATACTAATCATTTCAAGTGTCCCACTTATTGAGAATAAAATTGACCTGTCTTTTCGATTTTTCATATTATTCACTGGATGGAATAAGAAACTGAGGGTCTTGCACTTGCCACTGTATGTTTTTTTTAGTATTTGGAACGCCCAATCAAGGATTACTCAGGAGTATACTGACGACACTTAAAACTGAAAACATATCAAAGATGCTCAACAAAATCGGTATAGTAACGTCTGCTTCGTTGATAGTGGGCTCTTTAGTTGGTGGATTCCTTAGTGAATTCGAAAATGGAATCTTGTACAGATATTCCCTAATGGCACTATTCAATTTGCTCAGTATCGGTAAGTGTTCATTTCTCTGAATTGGGAAGTTTCATCTAGGGATGGGCATCTTGAATCGATTTTATCTAAAAACGATCTTTTCGTCTGAAAAAATCACATTAAATCGAATCGAATAACATATATTTGACTATAACGAGAATGGATCAACAAATTTGACAAATTTAACGAGGAGACTTGATCGAAATAACTGTAAAATATTATGTATCATGCCTATCCTCGGCACACTTGACAAAAGTGAATAAATTATTATGAAGTATTTTCGTCAGTTATATTTAATTTATGTTCTTATTTGTAATCCAATCGCAAATAAATTAATATCGTTAGATTCGTCAAAATATCCTTTTTCTGCAACCGACACAAAAGTCGTCAATTTTGATACCAAAATTAGCTCTTGAATTGACGTTTCTATTACTGACACAAAAATAGGTATGTTGCTAGGCAACATATTTAGTTCCTAGGAGCTAAAGTTGAATTTTAGTTCCTAGGAGCTAAAGTTGAACTTTAGCTCCTAGGAACTAAAAAGGAAGTACTGGACGTCATCAAGAATGAACAACATTGTGACGATTGGTTATTGGGGTTGAGAAGCATACCTGATTTGTTTCCGATTTCAGCAGATTTGGAATTTCATACCCATGCTGGAGATATAAATACACCTTATTATAGTTTAGTATTGGAATTATAAACATCTCAGCTAAGTATTTTTGTTTGATCAGGAAAGCCTTCAAGATTCAAATACTTGCTTCAAATACTTGCTTCAAATACTTGCTTGATCTGTATTACATTCGTTATTCTCGGGATGGATAACTTGTTTTTGAATAATCACGGCAAGCAATAGTTTTTCGTCTCAAACAACGATATTGTTTAGCTTCATTTGATTATTAGGTGAAAAACATTGTATCATAGAGAGGAGTAAATAATCACCATTATCATTGTTGATATGCTCATTAACCCAACATTTTCCACGTTTTGTTCCTATAGCTGGCGTGGTATTTGCTATTAGAGCACCTATGGTCCATACACAAATATGTCACTCTTTGATTGTACTTATATTGAAACTACAATTCGAACATCCTTGAAAATTGAATGAACCTGCTGTTGATTCAGGTAGAATGTTCTCACTACACGGATTATTTGTCAATATTTGTTGCATTGCATACATATGGCACGGCATTGGTGGTAACTTCACATATTTATTTGAGTTAATTGTGTCGGTTGCAGAAAAAATAGCATGTTTCATTCGGATCAAAAGTTACTTTGTTCGACTCGCAAATTTTGCTTTCGCTCGACTTCGCTAAACGCTCCGCCACGCAAATGCAAAATTCGCTCGTCAAACAAAGTGTCACTTTTGATCCTAATAAAACAATCTACTATTCTTCGGAAAGTGCTTGTCAAAAAATGGTCGCCATTTGAAAAATAATAGTTAGACACGAAAATGTAATTTTGCCAACTTGTCTTATTCATATCTATCATACTTGTCACTAAAACTTCACGAATATAATTTTTTGATATCACCTGAGGTCCTCAGATTAGTTTACATTCGATATCATGGCCACCTAGATGTAATTTCAAAAGTGACTCCGAAAAAATTAAGTATAGGCATAAAAACTTTCGAAAATGCCACATTCCGATCTGGAATTGTCTCAGAAATCCAAAAATGTTACAATATTCAGAGTGTTCTATTTAAAAATTTAGTACCGGAGCCATTTCCGGTGAAACCGGAAGTGACCGGAAAGTGAAAAATATGTGGAAACTCTCCTCTCCACATACCATTTACCTATACCAGATCTCATTTTGATACACCTAATGGTCTAGAAGGTATGACTTGTCTAATAGATTCGTTGACACCCGGTATAAAGATTCAATTGATATGACGTGTTTTTCATGCACATTCACGATAGTAAATTACCCTACGAATTTTGTAGCAGTTCCTTTGAAGGATCTTGAAATATCCAAGAAAATGTTGGCATCTAGTTTACCCTGTAGAATTCATGTTTCGTTGTTCTAGGACACCTTGTATAAGTGGAAACGGCAACATCTCAGTTACGCTAGAGGCGCAAACATGATGGATTTTCAAATAAACTTTTCGTATAAACCACGATCTGATTATAGAAAACTTCCCCATTTGCGTCTGAAACCAATTTCTTGAATTTTTTAAGCTAATGTTCAATTTCAGTTTTAGTGAAACAATTGCCTGTCGATAATATCATCCAAGAAGAAAAATCTGACACTTCGAGTTCATTCAAGAAGGCAACTACAGAAATCAATGCTGCCCTCAGATCCATGGCAATGTTTTTCGTATCAGATAAATACGGACATATCTTCGTCATGAAAGCGGTCATAGCAACCCTTTTCCAATTCCGGCAGACCGCCCTTTTGTACCAGTTCACCATTGGCCTCGAATTCACCGGAAGACAGGTAAAAAAACTCCATTAATCCACCAAAGTATCTAGACCACAAGAAAAAAGAAAAGGTTTGTTGCATCAACAAATTATTTATGCTTGAATTTTTGTTGGACTGGTCAATTTTTTGTTGAATCAATCAGATACATGATTATTTCATGAAAGCAGCTTGTTCAAATCAAGAATGTAGTCTCATTATATCAACAAGTATAATATCAATTCCATCAACAAAATATTATGGTTTTCTCAAAAAAAAATTATATCGATCCAACATCCCAGCGAGCACAAACATCTCTGGGATGTTTTGCGATGTTTTGAAAATGTTGGCATGAAGATGTTATTTTGAGACGTAATATGCACTGACCAAAGAGGTCTTTGAAGGATATTGAAGTATTGTTTTTTTTCTTCTGTGGCATTTCTTTGTTTGCCTACTGAGAGGTATCCCTGGGATGTTTTAGAAATGTTGGCATGAGGGTGTTTTTTTGAGGCGTAATATGCACTTCCCAAAGAGGTCTTAGAAGTATATTGAAAGTATTGTTTTTGTTGTTTTGTGCCCTTTCTTTGTTTGCCCCACCACAACGTCGAATGCTTACGTCACAATACGATGAATTCTGATTTGTTTTCGATTTTGTTCTTCTTGTTCGCAATTGGCATTCGCGATTGCAGCGTGTCACGCTTACATCACGCTGTTAACGAACAGAAAGGAATTTGGTGAAGTTTATTGTGTAAGAACACCTATTTAGTTTGTAATAATGACCATCAGATGCAAGATGTGTTGTTCGGTGCCTCAGTGTAATCAATATTATAAAAGTACGAATTTATCAATACACAGCTTCTCCGCAGTTGCAAAATTATGCATTGTGGAGAACATTTCAAAAATTGGGAAACCTATTTCCAATTATATGTCTGTGTGTAGTAAGCACTACTCAGAAACCGATTAAGAAGGTAATTTCATATCAAGAAGATATTTTTATATTCAATCTATTTTTAATGCATTTTTTCTTTCAAGGAAAATGGGATCCTAATGCAAAAGTTCATTTTGACAAAAGGCTTCAGAAAAGTACTTCGAAAATGTTTTTTTCACAGCGATTTAATGTGCGCAAGACGCGTTGAAAATGTTTTGTTGTGTCCATGAAAAGGCTTTAAAAAGAACTAGGGAGAAGGTAGTTTTGTGACATATCAAGGACATCTCGATAATTGCCGCCTGCGGCGGACATTGGCTGTTCTATAATAGTTCTATTCATGTGTGAACAGAACATCGCAGTGGAGGTTCAATGTCTCGAAATCTCGTACTTTTAACATCTCTGAGATGTTTTTGTGCTCGCTGGGATAATGTCGATGTTGATTCAACTATAAACATTTTGTTGATTTGATCAAATAATGATCATTTTGATGAGAATATATCTTTAAAACAACATACAAGTTTTCTTATTCCGATGTAGCAATGAAATCGTTCCGAACTAATCTTTTGCTTGAATAGAGCAACAAAATATGTAATATCAATAAAATATTTTGTTCATTCTACATCAAGTTTAATTTTCGCCTCTAGATGGCGATCATTTCGCCTCGTCTATGCCTGCTTCGAATTCATTATATAGGTACGTGAAGCCTGATTCTTCGTGTTTGAAATATCAGCTGGACATATCGAACTTAGGATGATTAGCAATCCGAAATGGTTTTGCATCAGCTGAAGAGAAGCAAAGACTGGAGATCTATGCTAGAAGTCTAATAGTTTCCTAGTTTAGTTTATCCTTTTGATGTGAATTTCAGAAAATTCCCGAATTGATGCTGAATTTGGCAACAAATACAGTTTCTCTTGAATCAACAAAATATTTTATTGAAATAATCAAATATTTCATTGAATCAAGAGGAACTGTATTCCCATTCGACAAATTGTTTCGTTGAACCAAATTCAGTATTGATTCGGGAATTTGCTGAAATTTCACATCAATAGAATAAACTAAACTAGGAAACTAGTCGACTTCAAGCATAGACCTCCAGTCTGTACTTCCCTTCAGCTGATGCGAAACAATTTCGGCTTGCTAAGCAAGTTCGATTTATTCATCGCATCTTCGTATACGTCACTGCGAGTGAAACAATTGCTCACAGTATTGATGAAATAAACCTCTGGTGTACGCACTACAATCCATTCTTGTTTTACAATTCCTTGATTTTCGCCTACTTCGATAAACATAACATGGCGTATGTGAATCTCGCTAAGTTTAGTCTAGTGACGTACCAAAATTACAGGCATCAATGTGAAGATAGGGAATACATTTTGCGATTATGCGATATGTGAACCCTACGTCATCGTATAACATTCTCATCTCACTCACTTCTCTGGAACACCGTAAAAAAGTTTGCGATCTGTCTCTATTTTATAGATATTTCCATGGACGATGCTCTTCTGAAATATCAACAATTGTCCCTCCCTTGGCAGTCCCCGCGAGATTAACCCGTCGAGTTGAGGCTTCGCACCTCTTCGTGGCCACTTTGGGGACCTGCATAACATCTCTTTCCAAAGACTCGTTCATCCAACGAACAGCGAGGCTCTGGAACACATTGCCAAGGGAGGTGTTCCCCAAGGCATATAACCTCCAGAAATTCAAGAAGAACTCCAATTCCTATCTTATTTCCCTTGGTTCTCACGATGTTCTCTGAACATTACAGGATATCCCTTTTCGTGGGAACCAGAACATAAAAAAACATTTTTTCTGTTGCAGATCGGCTACATCATCTCAGTGATGTTCCTCTGGAACATCTTCATCAACCTGGTACTGATCAAAGTAACCAAGAAGCTATACCCAACCGACAAAGGAGGCAAACGAATCCTACACGCATGCGCTATAACCGCCTTGGCCATGGTAGGCCATGCTTTGTACCCCGCATCAGTCACCCCCTCCATTTTCTTCCTGCTCGTGGGGGGAGTAGCCAATGCTCTAATCGACGTGGCTCTGATGGAGTTGTTTTTGGAGCGAGTGGAGGAGAAAGAAAAAGGAGTTGCGATGAATTCTTTCGACAGCGTGGGGTCCCTGTCGGAACTGGTGGCTCCCCTGGCTTGTAATGCTTGTTTGGGGGCGATGGGGGCGCCAGTAACGTTCTTGGCGGGTGGGATTTTAGCGATGGGGGCGATGGGTATTTGTTTCAGGAATTTGCGGGAAGGGGGGATGACGAGAATGGATGAGGAAGAGTGATGAGTTCGATACTTTTCGAAACTCATGGAGGTTTTGAAACGTCCTGAGGTGGATTCATGCATGACTTAATTTAATCCCGATTCAATCCTGGTTTAATTGAGCTCTTTCCTTTCTTGAACGAGAGAGGGAGAGAGGAAAGTTACCTCCTATTCCATCCTTCTCTACAGTCCGAGAAATCATTCCTTGTCTAACATTCAATTTGTGCCACTGAATCATTTCTGAATTCAGCAGTGTCAAATTTAACGATATTAAAAAATAATGTCAAGATAGGTAAGATATTCAGGGTATCAATTTTTTTTTGAAAATATGAAAGGTTTTCAATCAGTCGATGACATTATGATCTATAAGCATATAACATTTCATAGCCGCAGACTTGATGTTAGACAAGGAATGAGTTATCGAATCTCTTTATTTTTATTATCCCACGTTGGTCCTTAATTCTCGAAAAAATGAAGTTTTTTAAGAAAACTACTGCTTTGATAGTGATAGCCTCATATTTCTTCTCGGCCATTTCTCTGGCGATTTTTTTGGAAAACTTTCATTTTCTACATTTTGTTAGTTATCATCAATTACCCTGAACAACATCTTACTTGCTTCAAGATATGAGAAAAAAAAGAAAGTTTGACAACTTCTAAACTCCTGAAATTATCCTCAAATCATCTTAGTCAACTACATCATGAACTGAAGCTTGGAGTTTAATTGAATTCAGGCTGAATTAGGTTTTGCATGAATCCATCACGTCCACTAAGCAAAGTTGAAAGCTGTATTGATGCAATGTTGAAGCAACTACTGAAACAGACGTTCAGCAATATTACGAAGGCAAAGCTTGATAATGTAGCGTTGCAGCAATATTACATGATGCTGTGACATTGCTGGAACGTTACATTCACGAATTTACATTTGCAATATTGCTGAACGTCCGTTTTCAGTAATTGCTACAACCTTGCATCAACATAGCTTCCAAATTTGCTTACATTTATGGTTTAGGTAACCAGTTTTGTGAAATAAAACATATTATAACTGGTGGCTATGTGTGGGCGCCTGTTACGGTTTTGGGGGCAGGAATTTCGCGATGGGGGAGATGGGCATTTTTTTGGGAAATTTGCCGCAAGGGGGAAAGACGAGAAGCGATGAGGAAGTGATAAGGTCAAAATGAAACCTGCTTTCAAACATTTTTGAATGATGAATGTTAGCCTGAATTAAAGGTCCCAAGAACAGCTGATGGCTTTAGTATTATACGGTGGACCACGAAAGTTACTTTTTCCACCACAATTTCTCGCCCTACAGCAATATTGAGTGATCATATTTAGATACAGTATGTTTTGTATTGAAGTATGATCCCTTTATTCTCAAGACGATAATGGTTTTTGATTCACGTCAATATCTTATACTTTTCGAGAGATGATAAGGATATTTCCAATTTTTATGGACAATAATTAAGAACCTCCATCAACTAATTATTGACTAACAACTCGAAAAAACTTCTGGAAATCAATATCACTAAAATTTTCACTGCGTTATCTTAGCACTCACTGGCAAAGAAATGCCTTCATTACAAAAAACATCAAACAGCAGGCCTATATATTGATGTCGTCAGTAATAAAGTATTCCCTCTTCCAAGAAGTCAAAAGGAGTTGTCACAAACTCTTATTGAAGGGCAAATACCGGGTTTTCAACAATGATTAAACACCACGTGGCCATATTCGTATGCAACCAACAATACATATATTTGTTATTGTGTTTACTCAGGTAACATCATCAGATAATTTATGTCATATTTGCACCTTGGATCATTCATGGCTGTAGTTTCTAGTGTTTATACGTTCTATGGTTCACGTCCTTCGCAATTTGATTGGTCCGTTAACTTAACAACTATCATAGCAGCCAATAGCTTGTCTTGTTAACACAAATCAAAAACAGGAAAGTTGGATGGCGAATCTGTTCAATTTTGTTTTTTAGAAATTTATACTGCACAGCTGTTGTAGCTCATTACCACCCAGTAGCGCTTTGTTGTCTTTTCTCCTGGGTTTGTTGATAGTTTCTATGATTCTTGATTATTTTTATTGTTCTTGCATTTGGTTATTTCACTCACAATTATAACTTTGCGAGTAACAGGTTTAATCAAAACTACATCTCCAATTCATTGTTGTTAAAAAGTAAGACCAACCTCTCGTTTTTATTGTTCATGTCCTTATGTTCCTTTCAGGATTAAAGATTTTTTTCTGGTGAAATGGATGCCTTCTTAATGATGGCACATTTCAGATGTGGTACTCGTGATCCTAATCACTTCAAAGCTGCCGGAAATAATTTCATGATGCATTCCCAAATGCAAATATCCCATATGGGCCTATGTTTTATTTTGATATAGAAGCTGTTAATTTCCAGTTATTTATTTACCAACTGTGCAATGTTGGTTGCAAACACATTTTGGTCACGTGGTGTTCAATTATTGTTGAAGACCCGTTAGTAGCTCTTCAAGAGTCTTCGGCAAAGCCAGAGGGAGACCTATATATATTGTTGATATAACTCAAAAAATTCTATACTCTCTCAAAACACTCGTTTCTTCCCTTAAAAATGAGATATTGAAGTAAATCAGAAACCATTTTGATAAGAACATAATGAAAATGAGTTTGACCACTCAGTTCTGCCACAGTGCATTAACTAAAAGGTGAGAGTAACATTTCGTTTTCCCTGTATAATGATCAAGCCATCGGCTCTTCTCAAGAACCACAATGAACAGGAGATGGTGTAGAAACTCCTATTAAATCTCATATACTGTTTTTCGGTCAAAGTTCTTGACCTACGGCCTACTTAATAACAGAAGGATTCTTTTCGATATCGCGGAATATAGATCGCATTCTACCCGTTAGATGGCAAAATTTCACCCAAGATTCAAGGTTGGTTGAATTGTTGATAAAAAATCCCCAAAATAACAGTTTCGTACTTTCTAATTTAATCTCATTTGATTTGAGGTTATGTTATGATATTATTATGTCTGGTGCAAGCGGTGTGTAATCGTCGATTTCTGTCATGAAGGAAATCTGTACAGTGTCGCCATCTTGCGGACAACTGGGAACTAATATGCCATTATTGCGGAATCTGCTGTCAAGCGTTTTGGGTGAAACAAAACACTGCCTGTGATTACACCATAATATTCTATCCACCTTGTTCAGAACGAAAATTTAGGCTAGCATTCCTATACAAGAACTACAATCAAGTCGAAATTTCAACAGAATCGGACAATTTCTCTAACCGGTTTTTTATCAGTAAGTGTACTATTATATTAATGTGTCAATAATATTATACTTCTTGAAGCCTTTCGAAATATTGCATATTTAGAGCATTTTCAAGGTGCAATATGTCAAAAAGTATGACAGCTAGACGTATCAACCAGTATATATTTGTATGTCAGACGATCACTAAGAAATATACAGGGTGATTCATCAAGAATGGACAATCTCTGAACTACAAACAGTAAACACCAAAACTCTTTTTCAATTTCTTCATAACTATAGTCGAATATTTACCTGCTTCCAAATTCTGTTTGTTGTTGGCGTTGTTCGTGATTTTCATTATTAGTTACTATCTTTTTTCGGTTATTGTCGCCTCGCTAAATTTATAATTTAAAATATAATGAAAATTTCAAAAGTGGAACACAAACCTCTTCAAGAGCTTATAACGCAAAAACCATAAGAGCAAAACAATTTAAAAAATAGTACATTTTGTATGTAGAATTGAAGGGACCATCAGATTTTTTACTTATTTTAATCATCATTTGACGGACAAAGAAGACCAGATATATTTTAACGAAGTAACAGAGTGCCACTACAAATTCGTATTTTTCATGTCAAAAAAACTGAAACTACAAAATTGCATGTTGATGATGTTGAAACTTACAAATTTATTGAGAAATTTCAAAATAAAATCTTCTCCCTGAACACCCTGTATCTTCTAAACCTGCATTTTCATAAGGTATATTGGGCCAAATCATATTTTAGTGTTTACCATCTGTAGTTCAGGGACCATTCTTCTGGCGTTACATTGCTGATATCATTCTTCATTCATGAATGATGTGACTCTAAGATTGCAATTGTTTTTGAAAGGTATTGAAAGAAAATATAGATGGAATCCTATATTGTTTTACTAATTTTATAGCTCTTTTGAAAAAAATTACCAAAGAATTGAAGGAGTTTTAAAATAGAGTTGAAGACCATGTACCTAGTTATTTAATAATAAATTATTTATGTATAAATATATGTATTATTTTTCTTTGGGTATATATGAAAAGCAACAAGATTTGTGTTTAATTGTTTATCGTTGTTAGGTTAGGGTTATGGAAGTCTTTTAAGAAAACGTCCATATTAATATTGAATATCAAAATATGTTTTGATTCGAATATCATGCAGCTGCTGATATATGGAACGGGTTGATATCTGCCTGTATCTTCTCGTTATACAAAGGGTGAAGATGGAATTCGAATGAACGTATTTTGTAATTAAATCAAGACATTTCTCGATTTCTCATTTCTCGATATCCTTTCCTATAAAATTAATGGATATTATAATTGTCTTGAACAATAATGGCTGGAACACATTGTACAATTGTTGACCAGTAGCAACAATATTGATGAATACTTCTAGTAGTGACTTATCCTGTCAAAAAATAATATAATAATGGCTCAAAGAGCATTATTTATCAGGAGAAAAGAAATCAAGATTGAGACTTCAGCGGCCTCTAGCGCCAAAACTAGCCATTAGAATGGTTTGGTATTTGGACATTTTGTCCAGAATGTCTTCTACTATAACATATCAAAAATTCATCCAATTTGACAGGATTTCAATTTTCCCTATTAAACGTACGGTGTCCTTTATCATTATTACATGGCATGTAAAAAAATCGGAATTCCAGTCCCAGGAAGTGAGGAATAAACTTTATTTTCTAGGCAGTAAATGTGTCTGTCACTTCAGTAGTGCATGAATACAAGCACTAGATAGATCATTCAGTGACAATCGCAGAAAAACCGTGAGTAGTTTATTTGTAATAACTCAATAAATATCTGATAAATTTCTATTATCGATAAAAAAAAGTTGACTATTTGTTTAATTCATGCTGGAATGACCGGATTAGACGGCGCATACTGTTGACATATTTTCGAAAAATCGTTTTCTTTGCTTTTCAGGTCCTTGATGTACACGTGATCAGGATGAGCGTCCTTCAATTGTGATAGATATCGGTTGGCGATCTGCAAACAACAACTTCCTTAAATTAAATTCGATTTTAGACAGAAAAATATGTGTCATGGAGTTTTAGGAAATTCGAGGAAGTTCGGGACAGTTTCTGGAAGTTTGAGGTTTCAGGAAGCATATTCAAATTGTTGCCATATAAACAGATTTTCATAGAAAAAAAAACAAAGAAGAAATATTATCAATATACAGTGTGTCCCACTTACCATGCTCACCATGGGTATCTTTTTAACAGTGAGAGATACGAGGTCGGTTAAATGACACCAAATGTGGAGTTTGTCAAAGCCAACTATAATGTGAAAAAATATTTTGATAAAATCTGATCGTTTTGTTTCATACGCAAAAAACAGATTTTGATCATTTTCATGTCTCCTCCATAACTTCTTTATTTATGAAAATATTCAAATAGGAATTTCACATTCTCATGGCAGTTTTTCAAAGTGATTTCGAAAAAAATATGAAATTTATACCAACTCTTCTAGAATTTGAGATATCAGCACCAACTTTAGTTCTTTAAATGTGGGTCATAGCTCAATATGACTTAGTTACAAATAACTTTTTTTTCTCTTACAGATGATGTGTCGCAGTAATACTTTTGTGTTGATACTAACGGAGTTATCGTCATTTATACAAAAACAAAAAATTATTTGGAAGCCGCCATCTTGAATTTATGAATTTTAACAGAAAAAGCATGATTTCCGACCTCAAAAACCCCCACTTACCAATTTTGAATGGAATCGGACCAAATTTTGTCCGCCATCTTGGAGCAGCATTTTTTTTAAATTTCAACAAAAATTCAATAACTCTGATCAACTTGGAATTTGGCAGGTGTTCATAATTTCGGTGACAATACATTATGGAATTTTTGTTGAAATTTAAAAAAATGGCTGCTCCGAGATGGCGGACAAGATTTGGTCCGATTCCATTCAAAATTGGTAAGTGGGGGTTTTTGAGGTCGGAGATCATGATTTTTCTGTTAAAATTCATAACTTCAAGATGGCGGCTTCCAGATAATTTTTTGTTTTTGTAGAAATGACGATAATAGTAATAGTATCAACACAAAACTATTACTGTGACACATCATCTGTAAGAGAAGAAAAAGTTATTTGTAACTAAGTCATAGTGAGCTATGACCTACATTTGGAAAACTAAAGTTGGTGCTGATATCTCAAATTCTAGAAGAGTTGGTATAAATTTCATATTTTTCTCGAAATCACTTCGAAAAACTGCCATGAGAATGTGAAATTCCTATTTGAATATTTTCATAAATAAGGAAGTTACGGAGGAGACATGAAAATGATCAAAATCTGTTTTTTGCGTATAAAACAAAAACGAATAGATGTTATCAAAATATTTTTTCACATATTAGTTGGCCTTGGCAAACTCCACATTTGGTGTCATTCAACCGACCTCGTATCTCTCACCGTTAAAAAGATACTCATGGTGAGCATGGTAAGTGGGACACACTGTATATTCCATAAACCGATTCACCCTATTCATGTTGGATTGGTGGTATTATGTAGTTGTATAAGTGACCATTGGATCAATGTCATGAGCGAAATTAGAGCAGCAAGCTGGAGTATGTCAATCGACGAATATTTCCAGGAAAAATAGTATCACGAGTTGTTTTCGTATGACTATTTCATGATTGAATGAGACAATATATATGAGAAATAGGAAACATAACTTAAGTATATTCCAACTCGAACTGCGAAGAAGAACCTAATGATAGTAATGGAATACAGAATTTACTTTTTTAGAAATTACCTACCTACTTATAGTTATTCACAAAGTGGAATGTACAATTTTGATAAACAGTATTTTTTTATTATCTTGGAGATGGTTGCTTTCAAAAGAGTGTATACAATTACCATCCAATTCAAACAAAATAAATTGAATTTATGTGACATGGAATAATTAAAAAAAAAAGATATCGTCGCCGAGGGCTCGAACCATCGACCTTCGTATCCACGCGCAGCAACCCTAACAGTTGCGCTACATCAGCTAGTAATATATCAGTCAGTCACATAACTTGAGTAATTGAAGAAGATTACTCCAAAAAGGAATTTGAATTCGATTATTGTTGTGTCAGACCGTCAACAAATATGAAAACTTTTTAAATTACACATGAAACGTCCAGCCAGAATGAAATTGTCTCACCTTTCGACAAAATATCTCACTAACGCGAATTATAAGTAAATGAAGTAAAGTAGGAACTTAGGTTATTGTCTCAGATTTGAATCCAAAGCAATCTTGACCAGACACGATGTCAAAATTTTATCGCTGATAAACGAAGTTAGTTGGTCACGTGTGGGTCAATTCGGCTTCTGTATTGGTAGAGCAAGTCCGATAAAATTTAATAAACAAAAAATATCGCTAGAATACAGAAGAAACCATGAAAATGGTCGATTCTGATTGGTTCTCGAGATTAAGAGTGGAATAGTCTTCAGAAAAATTTCGTCAGCTTTCATTCTTTGGTTCACACAAAGTTTCACGATTATAATACAGGAATCTTTGGGTGTTCCAAAGGATTTAACAAAATAAGGAATCACCCCCAGGGATTTTCTGGCACTTGATCATATTTCGGAAAATAAATCGGGAAAAAATCCAGCAACAACAAATTTCGATCATCGATAACTCACCTCTGGTGCTTTCCCTGTTTGCCTCTGCAACACAATCATATTAACCAAAGTATCCGGATGATTGGCGTCTTTATCGATGGCTTCTTGCAAAGCGGCCTCGGCCTCTTCGTACTTGGCCTGGCCGATAAAAGTCACAGCTTGGCCGTTCAAAAGCAAAGGCGTCGACCCGTATTTGTCAACTAATTCTTGGTAGATATAGTAGGCGTCTTGCAACTTATCCCCACCCTGAAAATGTTCGAGATAGTTTCTTTGACAATCGATAGCAGAAATTGAAATATAATACACGTATTTTTTTGTTTTGTCGTGGAGATACTTGTTTTCTTTATACGGGGTGTTCGAGGTCGCATGAATTTTTTGTTTTTATTTTTGTTGAAACCAAACCTAGAGATTTGACATTCGGTAAGCACTTTTCTATCTGTTATATATGAACTGTCCTTATCCTTCTTAGTTTCCTTGTTATTCGAAATAATGTTACACCTACTATACATAACAATTTTATAACCTGAATGTTTATCTTACAAAAATCGCAAAAATCGCAAAAATTCCTGAAAATTGCAAAAATCGCAAAAATGACTGAAAATTGCAAAAATCGCAAAAATTCCTGAAAATTGCAAGAATCGCAAAAATGACTGAAAATTGCAAAAATCGCAAAAATTCCTGAAAATTGCAAAAATCGCAAATATGACTGAAAATTGCAAAAATCTCAAAAATTCCTGAAAATTGCAAAAATCGCAAAAATTCCTGAAAATTGCAAAAATTGCAAAAATTCCTGAAAATTGCAAAAATCGCAAAAATGACTGAAAATTGCAAAAATTCCTGAAAATTGCAAAAATCGCAAAAATGACTGAAAATTGCAAAAATCGCAAAAATTCCTGAAAATTGCAAAAATCGCAAAAATTACTGAAAATTGCTAAAATCGCGAAAATGACTGAGAATTGCAAAAATCGCAAAAATGCCTGAAAATTGCAAAATTCGCAAAAATTCTTGAAAATTGCAAAAATCGCAAATATGCCTGAAAATTGCAAAAATCGCAAAAATTCCTGAAAATTGCAAAAATCGCAAAAATTCCTGAAAATTGCAAAAATCGCAAAAATGACTGAAAATTGCAAAAATCGCAAAAATGACTGGAAATTGCAAAAATCGCAAAAATTCCTGAAAATTGCAAAAATCGCAAAAATTCCTGAAAATTGCAAAAATCGCAAAAATGACTGAAAATTGCAAAAATCGCAAAAATGACTGAAAATTGCAAAAATCGCAAAAATTCCTGAAAATTGCAAAAATCGCAAAAATTCCTGAAAATTGCAAAAATCGCAAAAATTCCTGAAAATTGCAAAAATCGCAAATATGCCTGAAAATTGCAAAAATCGCAAAAATTCCTGAAAATTGCAAAAATCGCAAAAATTCCTGAAAATTGCAAAAATCGCAAAAATTCCTGAAAATTGCAAAAATCGCAAAAATGACTGAAAATTGCAAAAATCGCAAAAATTCCTGAAAATTGCAAAAATCGCAAAAATGACTGAAAATTGCAAAAATCGCAAAAATGACTGAGAATTGCAGAAATCGCAAAAATGACTGAAAATTGCAGAAATCGCAAAAATTCCTGAAAATTGCAAAAATCGCAAAAATTCCTGAAAATTGCAAAAATCGCAAATATGCCTGAAAATTGCAAAAATCGCAAATATGCCTGAAAATTGCAAAAATCGCAAAAATTCCTGAAAATTGCAAAAATCGCAAAAATTCCTGAAAATTGCAAAAATCGCAAAAATTCCTGAAAATGCAAAAATCGCAAAAATGACTGAAAATTGCAAAAATCGCAAAAATGACTGAAAATTGCAAAAGTCGCAAAAATGACTGAAAATTGCAAAAATCGCAAAAATTCCTGAAAATTGCAAAAATCGCAAAAATGACTGAAAATTGCAGAAATCGCAAAAATTCCTAAAAATTGCAAAAATTCCTGAAAATTGCAAAAATCGCAAAAATTCCTGAAAATTGCAAAAATCGCAAAAATTCCTGAAAATTGCAAAAATCGCAAAAATTCCTGAAAATTGCAAAAATCGCAAAAATGACTGAAAATTGCAAAAATCGCAAAAATGACTGAAAATTGCAAAAATCGCAAAAATGACTGAAAATTGCAAAAATCGCAAAAATGACTGAAAATTGTAAAAATCGCAAAAATGACTGAAAATTGCAAAAATCGCAAAAATTCCTGAAAATTGCAAAAATCGCAAAAATGACTGAAAATTGCAAAAATCGCAAAAATTCCTGAAAATTGCAAAAATCGCAAAAATGACTGAAAATTGCAAAAATCGCAAAAATGACTGAAAATTGCAAAAATCGCAAAAATGACTGAAAATTGCAAAAATCGCAAAAATTCCTGAAAATTGCAAAAATCGCAAAAATTACTGAAAATTGCAAAAATCGCAAAAATTCCTGAAAATTGCAAAAATCGCAAAAATTCCTGAAAATTGTAAAAATCGCAAAAATGACTGAAAATTGCAAAAATCGCAAAAATTCCTGAAAATTGCAAAAATCGCAAAAATTCCTGAAAATTGCAAAAATCGCAAAAATTCCTGAAAATTGCAAAATTCGCAAAAATTCCTGAAAATTGCAAAAATCGCAAAAATTCCTGAAAATTGCAAAAATCGCAAAAATTCCTGAAAATTGCAAAAATCGCAAAAATTCCTGAAAATTGCAAAAATCGCAAAAATTCCTGAAAATTGCAAAAATCGCAAAAACTCCTGAGAATTGCAAAAATCGCAAAAATTCCTGAAAATTGCAAAAATCGCAAAAATTCCTGAAAATTGCAAAAATCGCAAAAATGACTGAAAATTGCAAAAATCGCAAAAATTCCTGAAAATTGCAAAAATCGCAAAAATTCCTGAAAATTGCAAAAATCGCAAAAATGACTGAAAATTGCAAAAATCGCAAAAATG